TACAATATATTTAGTAGTAGCTTATCAGTGGTGACTGTCAGTTAAATTGCATATGGCAGAAATGTATGCAGAGAATAAAGAAAAGAAATAACTGAAGATAAGAAATAACTGCAACTTTATTTATCTGAACTGCAACTTTATTTCCCATAATTGTGACTTTATTTCTCATGTTGGCATTTTATTGGCACTATTTGTCATGATTGCAACTTTTTCTCGTAATTGCTTTATTATTATCATGGATTGCAACTGTATTTATAGTATTTGCACCTTTACTTCTAATAATTGTGACTGTTTCTAATAATTGCGACTTTATTTCCCATAATTGCAATTTTATTTTTCATAATTGCGACTTTCTATTTCTAGTTCTTGTTACTTTATTTCCTGTTATTGCGACTTTAGTTCTTATAAATGCAACTCTGTTTCTCTATTTCAAGTTATTTTTCATAATTGCAACTTTATTTCCAGTAATTGCGACTTCATTTCTAAAGTTGCCACTTTATTTTTCTGTAATTGCAACTATTTCTTACTATTGCAACATTGTCTCATAATTATGATTTATTTCTCATAGTTGAAACTTTGTTTATCGGAATTGTAAATATTTGTGACAATATTTCTTGTAATTTCAAATTTATTTCTGATGTTGAGACTTTCACTTCTTTCACTTTATCTAACAATATACATTTGAAATTTGACATGAAAATTAAATTTGGTGATAGTTGTTCTGGCAGTTGTTGTCAGGATCTTTGGCAAGCGTTTGAGTGACATACTATCCATGGAAAAATGTGTCAAATCCTGCCGCTAACGTTGACATACACAAGAACAGGCTTGCACGGCTTGTTTTACACTTCAAGTGGAAATGGTTTGGAGTTGTTGCCATAGAAAAACTGTGGGTGACTTCATGTGTGACCTCAACTCAAGTCTTAAGAGCATTACATTCAGCTTTCTTTTCTAAATTAAAAAGAAAAACTGTAAAAATATATTCAAAAATATAGTCAGTTCCATAGGCGTTGTGTCCTGATGGCAATAATTGTTACCTTAACTGCACTGCATAAAGCTGTGCTGACTTCTAATTCAAGCTAGGTGTGCTGCCTTTCAATTACAGCACGTAGTCCATAATTATTCCAATTATATTTTTGTCTCATCTCTTAACAATTTACAGTAAGTGCAGATGTGTGGGGTTATTTGTCTGCTCATAGTTCTAGTTTATGTCTGTTTGAGTTCAGAGGAACAATGACAGCTGTGGTATCAGGATAAAGGTATTTGAGGAACCTCTCTACACTTCTGGTCTAGATCTGCTTCTCAAAGCTCCAACAGGCCCAAACACACACACACACACGCACACACACGTGTGCTCCATTAGTCCCTCATGTCATTGTTGAAACAAATCACATCTGCCACATACAAAGTCAGTATAAGTTACTTTTTCTAACAAAATTACTGCTCTCGTTATTGCTCGTAACTTATACTCGTAACTTCACTTTTCCAATTCAAATTTTATTTCTTGTAATTTAAACTTTATTTTTCATGATTGCAATTTTGTTTCGTAATTGTGACTATTTCTTGCAATTGCAACATTATTTCTCATAATTGTGACTGTTTCCCTTAATTGCGACAATTATGTCTTTATTTCTTGTAATTGTGACTTTTTTCTCATATTGGGACTTTATTTCTTGTAATTATGACTTTCTCTCATAATTGAAACATTATTTCTCATAATTGTGACTTTCCCTTAATTGCAACTTTTTCTCATAATTGTGACTATTAAACTTAATTGTGACTTTTTTTTCTCATAATTACACCTTTATTTCTTGTAATTGTGACTTTTTCTCATATTGGGCCTTTATTTCTTGTAATTATGACTATTTCTCATAATTGAAACATTATTTCTCATAATTGTGACTGTTTCCCTTAATTGCAACCTTTACACACAATTACGATTTTATTTCTTGCAATTGTGACTTTTTTTCTCATATTGGGGCTTTGTTTTTTGTAACTGTGACAAATTAATTTTGATTGCAACTTTATTTCTTATAATTGTGACTTTATTTACCCATATCATGACTGTATTTCTTGTAATTGTGACTATTCCTTCTGATTGCATCTTTTTCTCATAATTGTGACTTTAATTCTCATATTGGGATTTTATTTCTTGTAATTGCTACTATGCCTTGTAATTGTGACTATTCCTTGTGATTGCAACTTTTTTTGATATTGTGACCTTTTCTTGAAACTGCGACTTTTTCTTGTAAATGCAACTTTATTTCTAGTAATTGCAACTTTATTTCCCTTGATTATGACTATTTCTCATAACTGCAACTTTATATTTCGTAATTGCAACTTTATATTTCGTAATTGCAACTTAATTTCTCGCAATTGAGGCTTGGCCGTATTTGGAAATATTTTTCATAATTGCAAAGGTTTATACTTACAAATATTCCTAAATCGGATGCACCCGAACTCTCTCTAGTCCTCAGACTCTGCATTGAGGAAGCTCTCTGAAGATCTCACCCAGAAGAACGAGCTGGTTCACAAACTGCAGAAAGAAAAGGAGCACCTGGTGGAGTTGAGCCAGGTGAGGGCTGCTGAAATGACATGGAATCACATTCTCTGCGTGTATTTGTTCATGTTCCAGAATCCATCACTCAGAACAGTAGCCTTAGACATATGTTGGACAGTTTTGACCAGTGTTTTCCAAGGATACTGCAGTGTAAAGGTCGGTCATGAGGCGAGGTAACTAATGCAATCAACACAGCCTGCTCTTTTACATGGGACAGACCCATCTGGAAGACAAGTTGGAGGTCGTTAACAGGTTAGCGTTCATCCCTCTGGCACAACAGGCCATTTCCGACTTTAATCTGGAAAATAACTTTAAGGGTTCAGGTCACTGCTGTGATTGTTTCTTAAATAATGAAAAATATTTTCTGCGAAATGGTTTATAATGAGTTGCAGCAGTGAACTGCTTGGAAATCTTGATTACCAATCAAAACATGGCGTTTGACTCTAACACGGCACTAGTAATTGATAAGTGTTTTACATGTCATAAAATTGATGAATTATTCATGTGGTTTTGACCCGGTTGAAAAGATGGTAATGTGCAATAATTTGGAATAAATGTTCTTAAATACTTTAAATACTTTTGTTGTAAGAAATCTGTTTTAATGCATCAGTGTTGTGATGCTCGCATTTATTATTTAATTCAGAAATACATTAAAATGTAATACATACATACATATACTTCTTTGTGATAACCATTTTTTAATTTATGAGTTGAAGTTAATTTGGATATTTTTGTGGGCATGAGGACAGACATATTAGGGTAATACAATTGTCCTGATATCATGAAGAAAAAGGCCTCTAAAAGTCTTTTTCATTAAAAAATTTCATTGGCATTAATATTAAAAAAGCATTAAAGCAGTTTCATATCTGTAATCTCTCATGAAATGTGACCAACATGGGTGAGAAACTATAAAACAAGAAATGTTATCCTAGAAATATCAAATAATTTGACCTTTTACGTGAAGCCAAGATTAGTTCAAGTTGTAAATTGTCATGTGGTACAACCCCTAAAAAACCTAATGATATTTATGAATTGTTAATAATAATAATAATAACTTTGAAAAAATATATATATTTAAAAGAGTTTTGAAAGTAGTGATATTCATGGTGTGAGGAAAATATTTTATTACTTTTAGAGTCATTGAATTGAGACTTTTCTTAAATATAGTATCATTTTTCAAATCCAAAGAGTAGATTTCCAACTTGGTGTGTTTTTATCATTTTTTTGTTTGTTTGTTTCTGTGGACATTTTTATTTGTCATTAACCAAGCAATTTAAGCTTATTTGGAAGCAGTTCCTTTCTAAGTAATCTGTCTTGATGTAGATGCAGAGCACCTCAGATCACGGTTTAGCTCACCTTAGAAAGTCAAGAAGTGTCTTATTTTCCTCTCACCATCTCTTTTGTGCTCCATAAAACTCTATGATCGGTGTGCAGTAACGTAAGCCAGATGTCCAACAGTAGCAGCTCATCTCTGTGATTTACGACCTTCATCAAGAACCAACTCCAGATATGTGAGCTCTTCGTTCAAGGAGCATAGTGTTGGTGTGATGGTGTAGTGTGCTTTACATTTGAGCTTACTTCACTTTAGACCAGAATGAATGTGCCTTTCAGGGTCTGATTTGATTAAGCCATCAAGCTTTCTCTGTGATCGGCCGAATGAAAGCTTCCCGGTCAGATGTGAGCCGTTCTTGGCTGGAAGTCTACGCCGCATCTGCTCGACAGACCCTCACATCTGTGTTTTATTTTTGCAGCAGGCCATCGAGGACTTACAGTGCGAGGAAGAGAAGGTGAACCTCCTGACCAAAGAGAAAGCCAAGCTGAAGCTGCAGGCAGAGGATGTGAGTAGATCAGCAGATCACTGTGGTCCGGGCCACGGATAGATATAGATATCACACCGATCTGCTTGATGTTCTCCTAGCTGGAGTATCTGTTGGAGCAGGAGAGGAAACAGAGGATGGATTTGGAGAAGAGCAGGCGGAGGCTGGAGGGAGACGGTAGGAACACTATGGACAACCAGACAGAGATGGGCAAGATGAGGGCCAGTCTGGAGGAGATGATCAGGAGGTGAGGAGATGTTTCACAAATGCAAATGATGATAAATTAACTGCATTTCACAGATGAATCACAGTTATGTAATTTACTTCTGAAGCATTTGTTCTATTGGCTTACGTGTCCCTTTTTTTCTTTGTTTAGTCCGGAATTAAACAAATAAACTAGAAACTGTGATTGTAAGCGGTGTGTGAGTTGAAAATCTAATAATTAATTAAATCATAAAAATGTCAGTTGCAATCAAATTACATGAAAATGTTATTAAATATTTATTTGTATTTCATTTGTATTCATTTTCTATATATATTGTTTATTAAATATTTTATTTTTTGAATATTTTATTTGTTTAGCTGCATGTCATGTGACCATTAATCAACGTTAGCTTAGCAGATAAGAGCAATATTCATTATATAGCATGTGAATGTGTTGTTAAACGATTAAAATAATATAATAATCTATAAATAATATAATAAATAATCATATGTGTGGGGGACTTCAAGTAAATATTTTACCTCAAAATGGTTTCGCTGTCAAAAATGTTAGGGACTCCATATAATAATGTTATAATAACTAAAATGAATGATCTCTTGAAGCCGTTGATGTCTCCAAGAAAAGCTTTAAAAATGGAGAAGATAAAGCAGCAAAACAGATGTTTGGACGGCTCTTGTCTATAACATGATATGTGCTTGGAGCGCCGCTATCTCAGCTTTGATGAGTTAAAGGCCTCCAGGCTCCTAGAGCTGTTCAGGCTTGTTAGTGTGCAGAATGGCGTATATTCTGTAGAAAGCAAAACCAGCTGTTTCATAGAGGCCCCAATTAGAAGGAAAAAGAAAACCAGAAAATGTCTTCTTTTTTATTTATTTGAGTGATGGTGAAAGGGTTAAAAGCAGAGATAGTATGTGGAAGAGGAGGAGAAGAAAAAACTGCTCAATATGGCGTATGTATGAACGGAAGCTCCGCCTTTCAGTTTAAATAGCCAATCAGCTTTCTGATAGAGGCATCACCTGTTTGTTAATTGTTGATTTGAAGACATACTGTATGATATTGAAAATGAATCTTGACCAACAGTTTTGAAGATTTCACTCTTTCTTGAAACGGAAGCCTGTTTCCACCTAAAAAGAGGTAATTGTGACTATTTACTGCAGTTGCCACTGGCAAAAAAAA